ATTTAGTAATTTATAATCATTAATATTAGTAATCAAAAAATTGTTCAGTATCATTATCAAAATGATTCAGTATCGTAATAAAAAATATAATCATTTAAGCTTGCTCATTGATTACATTTGCTTTATTTATTTCAATTATTCAGTCAGTTATTGCAGAATTTAGTAAAGTACAATTATTTCTTAAAGTTCACATTTCTTGCTGTGTTTTATGAAAAATCATTAATTATATTTCGTAATTTAAGTTTTCACAGAACTTATTTTCAACAAATAATAAAGTAAAATTAAATAGTTTGTTTTGAGAGACATAATAATATGTAAATCATTTTTTATCAATTTTAATTTAGAGAAACTACGCTCCGCAAACGCAGTAGCGTTTGGAGTAGTTAATAATATTGTTAAAGCAACATTTTTTTTGGAAATGAATTTATGTATCACATTGAAACATCGCGTTGGTGTTGTACATGACGAATTGTTTATGTCACAAAATATTTTAATTTCATTTAGCAAATCGTTTCCATCTACATATATGTTCCATTATATGAAATAACAATTATGATTAAATTAATTTACTTTTTTCAAATGTGGAAGTAATCAACAACATGTGCGGAACCCGGGACAAATTCTCCTCTAAATGATAATCATTAATTATAAAGATGATATCACGATACTTATTATCGTTAATCATTAATTTAGTTACATTTTACTTACTCTCGTCCATATCGTAGTATTTCAAGATTTCTTTTACTGACACCTAGTTTATTCAGTAAATTTGACTTCATTATTAAATGTTTTTACAACGTGGTAATACCAAATGGTCAAATTACTATAATTATGGAAAAACTGTGATCGAAACAGATTTTGGTAGTAAACCTGTTATGGTGTTTGTTATATTACAAATTGTCCTTCTGCAATCGAAGGAATGATTTACATGACAAAGTTGTATGTATTTTTGTACGTAATACACTTGCGAAAATAGATTTCAAATATTACCAATTCGTTTAAATAATATATTAAAAAATATAATTCTTTTTTCATTTTTCTACTCAAATATTAATATATTTTCTTGAGTATTTATATGCGATTAATGCATATCCAAACAAAAAATACAGAGGAATTGAAATTTTACGCTTTATGTTTGAAAAGTAGTAAATTCGCGCTGATCCCATGCCACATACACATTGTCATAGTCACGGACACATAGGGGG